GCCAGGAGGGTGGGGAATTAATGAGCCCAAGGAGCGGGTAGAGGAAACCTCAATTATAGCCTGTCAATCAGAAGCCTCGGTGACAACCTCTACTTGTAACCTGTGACTGAAGTGGCAGCAGTGTCGTGGGATGAGCCCTTCCCTGCAGGATCTGGCGCCAGAATGAACCGAGTTAGAGGACCCCGGCGGGTGTCCAGCCTGTGTGGGGGAAACACTGGCACACATCAGGTCTCGAAGTGTTCTGTCTGGATTGTGAGGTGGAGAGTAGGAAAAGTTTGTTCTCTCTTACAGATGGTGAGGAAGCCCCGTGTGGGAAAGTGAAGCCGCCCTTGGAGATGACCATAACGCAAGGAGGGAGGCAGGAGAGGGCAGAGCACCTGAGGAGGCAGCAGAGCCACCCTGCAGGGCGCCCAGTCCCTGCTGAAGAGGGAGAGACGGGAAGCCGGACTTGGGGACGGCGTGGCCGGCAATCAGCACTGGCATCCTCTAGGGAAAGGGTGGGCTCTCAGGACTGTTCCCCACCCCAACATTTTATTTTTCTAAAATGTCAGATGCAGAGCAAAGTTGGAATAATTGTAAGGTGAACACCTGAGTGAACACAGAGCACCTCTGGATTCTACATGAGCACTTGACTGTGCTTCCTTTATCCAGATCCACCCATGGATTCCACCATCAGCCCATCTGTTCTGATGCTTTTCAAAGTAAATTACAGACACCAGCACACACCCCCAAATATGTGAGTGTGCATATTCACTTACTAGGGTCTAGAGCTTGTTGACTTCTTTTGATGTAAAGTTTTCCTACAACGGAAGATCCAAGTCTCCAGTGTAGCTTTGCTGAATTTGCTGCTTGCACTCACCTGCCTGTAGACACCCGTTGTCACCCGGAGAAAGTTCCCTCACACTCCTTCCCCTAAATCCCCTCCCCCACGGCTCAGAGGCAATCCCTTTTCTGAGGTTTTTCTCCACCATAGTTTTGCTGACTTTAGAACTTCATGGGAAAGACACAGATGCATCCTCTTGTGTCTGGTCTCTGTGGCTCATCATAATTTTTGTGGGCATCGTCTATTCATTGCAGGAATCAGGAATCTTTTCTACTCTTAGTGAGTGATTGCGCAGTGCCTGACTATACCACAGTTGGTTTTTGTATTCCTCCTCTTATTGATGGACATCTGAGCTGGACCCTGTTTTACAGGAGTCTTCATCCAGTCCTGACTCTGAAGAGTGGATTATCAGATGGGGAGTTCATGGATAGCCTTTCCCATTGCAGTTTGCCCCCTTAGGTGAAACACAGCTCATGTTTTCTGAATCCACGTTCAGGCACTGCCCTCCTCCTTCCCTCCCCTGAGCAGCTCGGTCCAAACACCATGGGGAGGGCTCTGAGCACAGTGGCACCCCTGCCCAGGGCCAGGTGAGGGCCATAGTCATCCAGAGTGGGCCTCAGAGGGGACATCACAAAAGGGAGGAGGAGTGACACCCATAACAAATGCAGGTCTGGTGCTGGCTCTTGGATTCCACACGCCATTTTCCCACCCAGAAGAACGAGGATTCTTGGAGACACGATGGTTGGAGGGTGGGGGGGAAAGCGCAAGCTGAGGTTGGGGGTCCTGTGCACTCCAGAAAAGGAGCAGGTGCTTGAAGGATGATGGAGACGGACAGAGACAGAGTCCAGGTGAAGGGAGTCCCCTGGCCAAATGGGGGCAATCTGGGAATTGAAATAGCTGTAGTAATGGACCACATCTCACCAGATAAGATAGGACACCCCGAGTTCCTACTGTCTTAAGGGAATATGTCAAAAGCCCAGTACTCCCCAAGAAGCTCTCTGTGAAACCCTGCTAGTTACCCAGGCTAAGGGCAGGGGAAGCCCGTCACCACTCTCATCACGCCATCAAAGGAACTTCGTTGGAGACGGGCCAAATCCAAAGGTACAGCCTGTCAGGGTGCAGCTAAACCCCACAGCATCCCATGGCTGCTCCTGTTGTCCCCTAAACCACTGAGGTTTCCTGGGAGGTGACATCTCAGCACCTGATTCCCTGCTAAAGACACAGCATGGGCAGCTCTTCTCTGTGCTTGACGTTGTTTCAAAGTAAAGCAACAAACACAAAATGAGATCAGTGGGGAGGAAGACCTGTAAGGGCCCTGCCTCGTGGCGTGCTCTGCCATCTTCAATTCTGAAGAACTTGTAAAGGGGCCGCCTTTGGCCCAAGCCCATCTGGTGCAACCAGGTCTGGTAGGGACTCGGACCCTGGCCCATCTCTGGCTTTCCCCATCGCCTCTGGGCTTCCCATCATTCAGTCATCGGTATAACCAGTTCCTACGTGAAATCCTGTCTGGCTGGAGTATGCACAGTGCACCTGACATATGGCCACCACAGTCACCACAGCCATGGCCGCTGGGAAGGACACACTCCTGCCTTCCCACCTGTAGGACTCGGTGTTCTGCTTTCCCAACGCTGACACTATGCCTATGTGCTCCAGTGAGCATTTCTGAGCCCCAACACAGGCACCTCCTCCTCCTGGGATCCCCCGATTCCTCTACACTGCAGGACAGGACGTGGGGCTGATTGGCGCTGGCCCTTCCTCTCCCAAGCCACAAGCCCAGGGAATGGGTGAACCTGACACCTGCCATTTTGCAAAGCCCTTGGATAGGAGTCCTGACAGTGGCCCAGCCAGCCAGGGAGAGAGCTGGAGGAGCAGTCTTTTTGTAAAGAAGTCCCCTGAGGAATACGCAGGTACCTACACGAGTCTTTCCTCAGCACCTGCACTGATACGTCGAAAGCAAAGCCAAGTCCGGTTTCCCCTTTGGGTATCATGGGCTCTTCCACCGTGGCCAGGGCTTTTCCTCAGCTGGAGGAAGAGTAGTCACAATGGTGCTTAGGAGCTGGAGTTTTATGCAGCTCTGCCACCTACTGCAAGTTACTTCAACTCTCTGTGCCTGAGTCTTATCATTTGTCAAATGGGATTAACGATGGCACCTGCTGTTCTCCAGCTGAGATCTTCCCCTGACTCCTGCCACCAGCCAGACAGAACCTGCACACCTGGAGCAGAATAGAAGACCCTCCTGACCACCACCCGGCCGCTGCTGTGGGTGGAGCATCTACCCTCTGCTCAGTGCTGCTCTCTCCCGCTCGACCTCATCCGGGTCTCATCTGAAATACCTGCAGGGTGGTATCATTTTCTCTACAGATAGAATAGAGATGAGATGGCTACGGAACCTGCCGGAAGCACCGCTGACCAGCGATGGGGCTAGGTCCACCCATGTCTGCAGGACCTTGCAGTCCTCCCTCCTGAACCCACCCCATATCTCTAGGTCCCCCCTCCAACCAAATGCTGCAATTTCCAGAACACACCAAGTTGTTGAGTCCCCCAGTTTCTCTGTCTACACACTGTTCTCCCCGGGGCATTCCGAAAATCCTGAGTGAGTGAATCTGGCCAAAGCAAGGTGGGTGTGGACGTGAGGGAGGGAGGGCGGCAGGGGGCGGCGGGGACACTCATGATGGGAGCACTATTTTGGAGAAGGCTTTGAACACACCCCGCCCCACTCTCCCCTCCTGAAGGTGGATCTGTGCTTTGGGCTGGAGCTTCCAGGGTTGAGCTGAGGTTGAGAAGTGCCTGCCGTCCCTCTGCGTCCAGCAGCTCTGCCCCAGCTTCATGGGGATGGAGCGGTCCTCACGCGGTGCCTGACACCAGGTCTGGAGTCAGGAGCACGGCCCGTCGTGACTATCAATCTGGACATCTCTGTTTCTTCTTCAAGTCTTCCTTAAATACGTGCGACGCTGCGTCAGAAAATCAGGACTTGTAGCCCTCCCTTGAGTCACACCCACCTTCTGGATCAGGCCAAGAGAAGAGGTTTGCTACCAAAGGAAGCTTTGGGCAAGAACTGATTATTTACTGCAGTGCCCAGAAGCCAGGAGCCTGAGCCCTGGCCCCCTGACTGGACTGCAAACCCCACAGCACTCACTGGCCTGTCCCGTGCTCGTCCTCCCACCCACCTGACAGTGGAGCTCTGAAAAAATGTTCTTAAGGTTTCACGAGGCTTATTGACTCTTTGTCCCAATTTGGGTGTTACTGCTTGGCCTTGGCCTGGCCTCAGACAGCTCCAGCCCCCTTATGAAGCTTTGGCACTGAACTCCTCCCTGCAGAGCTCAGCTTGGGCCTTCCTCCTTCCTTCACCCTCTGTAGCTCTTGGGCTGCGCCGCTGTCATTCATAAACATTTATTAAGCACCGCCTGAAGACGGGGCACTTACTAGATCCTGCAGCAACAGATGGACAAGATGTGCACACAGCTCTGCCCTTGGGGTGGGCCTCAGTGGAGCAGTCCTGTAGGTAAGTTCTAGTGCATTAGGCAGCGACAGGGGCCACACCGAGAAATAAGCAAAGAGGGGACGTAGGGGATGTTAGAAGAGGGCATTTATATTTTCTATGCCCTCTTCCTTCCTTTCTTTCCTTTTCTTTCTCAGACAGGGTCTTGCTCTGCTGTTGAGGTTGCTCTGGAACCCTGGGCTCAAGGGACCCTCTTGCCTCAGCCTCCCAAATACCTGGGGCTTAGATACATGGCACTACACCTGGCTCTATTTCTATTTTAAAATAGTGGTCTGGGAAAGGCTCACTGAGAAGAGTTCTTTGAGAGGACAGTTGAAGGAAAGGGGAAAGTAAAACATCCAGGTAGCGAGAAAAAAGAATCCTCCAGGCAGAGACCACCAGTGCAAAGGCCCTGAGGTAGCGGGAATCGGGCACGTCAGAGCCACAGGCATTGGATTGGCCAAAAGAGAGATGAGGGGAGGGAGATGAGGCCAGAGAGGAGTGGCAGAGAAAGCACAAAGGCTGTTGTTGGGACAAGAGCTTTTAGGGGTAAGATCTAGCAATTGGAGGAGGGGCTGCAAGGAGGCATCAGGAGAAACCTGGGAGACAGGAAGGCTGGGAGAACTCTGCAGGGGCCCAGAGACAGGGCATGGTGGCTGAGGGGGCACGGGGTCATGAGAGGATCTGGAGGGTGGGAAGGGGCGGTACTGTGCGTGGGTGCTGGGGGAATGACGGAGACAGCTCAGCGGTGGCCGTCCCCGGAGCCGGCCCTGGGAGTCTGCTGTGGTTCCAGGCAGCGCAGGGGTTGCTTGGGCTTGGAGTCCGTGGTCTAGAGCCCTCCGCTGGCCGCGCTGTCCCTAAAGCTCCAAGCTGGGCATCCGCTTTGGGCCAGCAGAGAGGGTGGAGCTCCTGGCTCTGCCATGCATCTGGCTGGCCCGGCTACGGTGTTTAGTGTCCCGAGTTCCGTGTTTTCATCTGTGACAACATCTACCCCTGAGGAACGTGTGGAGGTCAGAAGGGGATCTCAAGCTGCCGGCACAGCCGCCGTCAGGGGCGGGCGAGGAGCGTTAGGGCTGTAGTGACCAGCTGGGAATGGGCTGGGCGCTGGCCGAGAGCCCGTCTGCTCTCCTCTGTGCAGTGGGTCGAGGGTTTGGACCTTAGTGTCCCCAAACGTCCTGGCTCGGTGCTACGGGGAGATGGTGCTGCCTCTGGGGGGTGCCTCTGGGAGGTGGGGCCGAGGGCCTCTGGCTGTAGGTTGGGGTGTCCCTTGAGAGGACGCTCCCAGGCTGCTCCTCGCCCTGGCTCCCTGGCCATGAGCTGGGCAGTTTCTCCTGGCTTTGTCCCCACCCCCCGCCATTGCTATCGAGCACCCCACCGTGGCCTCAAATGAACCGGTCCACCCGATCAGGCACTGGAACCCCCCGAACTGCGACCCAGGAGAAACCCTTCCTCTTCTTAGGTCGATCACGGCGTTTTTCACGGTGACGGTGGCTGATGGGCGCGGGTAGGACCTGCACTGTTTTCCTCACGTCCTCCTGGGAACCGGCACAGACCTGCTGGCCACGTGGGAACGACTCAGGCAGTGCGTGCGTTTTGGTTGAATAATTAACCACATATGAGTACTTGCCTCTGAAGAAGCCGAGAGATCCTTCAAACCAAGACGAGAACAAAACTAGGAGGAAACATGAGCCCGTTTCCCCACCGTGTTCTCCCTCTGGGCTGCGCCCCCCTTCTGAGCCGAGCTGCAGTTTTAATGAATCACGTGATTTGCAGAAGGAAAGGGAGTGTGAGCGAGTGTACAAGAAAAGGCACAGGCACAACAGAGGCAGTAAGATAAGCAGAGGCACAGAGAGCCCCAGGATCAGGAGGCTGGGACGCCCTGCCCAGTACCCTGTGGCCACAGTGACGTCCTAGCACAAGGCCTCACCCGCTGGACTGTGTGCGGCTGCGTGAGCTAACCTGCAGCTCTGCCACACATCAAAAGGTGTGCACAGCCCAAATACTGCTGTGGTTCCGGTAAGTGTCCCCATGTCCCCAGCCCTGGTGCCATCGGAAGGCAGCGGGAATTTAAGAGGTGGAGCCTAGGGGAAGGTCACTGAGGGTGTGCTCTTGAAGGGGATAATGGGACCTCAGTCTCTTCCTCTTTCTTGCTCCCGGGCTATGGGATAGCAGTTTGGCTCTGCCTCACCCTCCCACGGCGATGTGCTGCCTTACCACAGGCTAAAAGCAGCAGAGCCAACCAATCGACCTCTGGAACCTCCAGAACCTTTTCTCTTCATAAGTCAATTATCTCAGGTATTTTTGTTACAGAAAGGGAACACAGCCATGTTGCTGGCTTATGCATTTGCTATGCTCTACTTCACTGCTATTTTAGAGTGCACTCTACTCATAGAGAAAGGGAAGCTGTGAATAGTCTGCCCTGTCAGGTGGACAGGAGCCCCACGCATCTTGTGTCTACCCCATCCCGACTGCAGCGACCAGCCACACAGGGTGCCGACCTGCGCCGTGCAGGTGTGTGTGCGTATGAGGCTCACACCACGAGGAATCAAACCAGAGTGTGGCCCTGTCATCAGGCCTCGCACCTTAGGCCTCATTGGAAGGCGACACTCCCAGGCTTGCAGGGTCTTCCTCTGGATGACACACAACGTCTGCTTGGGGACATGGCAGCTTCCATTTTGTTAAGGACACAGGTCACCCTGGTGGGGGGTTGTCACTGGGAATAGCCCCTCAGAGCTGGGTGGTTCCCTCTGTCCTCAGAGCCCACGGCCGCACAGTGAGCCCCATGGGGCCCTTCCTTCCTAAGCACCCGCTGCTGACAGGCTGGAAGGACACAGGCCAGTCTCTGAGGCCCCACCAGCAAACGTGGGGATGGGTTTGCTTGAAGCTGGGGACTGTCCTTCCATGAGGATCCCCAAAGACTCCTTTCCTGCATAGGGAGGTAACAACTGCACAGATAAAGCCAGCCTGACCCTGGGACCAGGCCACGACATCCACCCAGTCCTAAACCCAGAGGGTCACCTGGGTCCTAGACACCTGGGCCGAGCCTCCCCCTCTCCCCACCCCAGCCTGACCCTCCTCCTGCCTTGTGGCCTCCGAGACACCCACCCTCGTAGCACGAGGAAGCAGAGCATGTCATTTCCTGGGGGGACTTGTGTCCTTGCCATTGTGTAGGCTCGTCTGACTTGTGGAATGGGACAGTGATATAAAAATCCCAAGGTACTGGGGATTGACATTGGCCAAATTACACTGTCACTTTGTGTGCACATACAAACATGTGACAACAAATCCCAACGTTGTGTACAGATATAAGGAGAATAAATAAATAAGAAGTTCATGCTTTCAGATGGCTCTGCATTTTACAAACTGCTGTTTCATGTACTTCCTCCTCCAGGTCTTAAATCAAGAACCGCATACAGTGGCATCTTGTGCACACAAGGAGGCCTGTCACGGTGGACAGGGCTGGGGTGGCTGGGAGGTAGGGTGGCCAGGTGACAGCGTCCAGGGCCCGATGGCTTCGGGAAGAGGCATGATCAGTGAACTTAGCAGAAACTGACAGCTGATGGCCTTGACCTTGACCGAGTCCCCCTTGGTCTCTGGACTCGGTGTCTTCCTCATTAACCCAGAGGGATTAGAGTGGAGGGCTGCTGAGATTCCTCTGGATCCTGTAATGGGGACTGTCACTATGCCACTGGTGGCTCCTGCATCTCAGATCAGAACGACACCCGCCCCCCCAGGCCACAAGGGACCACTGGGCACATCCAGGACACAGCTGGCCTCCAGACAGCCCATCACACAAACTGCTCCCGAGAAAGCCGTCTCCAATTACACGGCACGTCAAGAGACTGTGGTAACTCTCTGGCCTTGGCTGGAGATGAGCTCCTCTGTCCAGATTAACACGGAGCTCGAAGCTCATGGTGACCAGAGGCGGCTGTTGGAATACTGAGTGGCAACTGCCTTGGAAGCACAGTGGGAGGGTCCTTGTGACCCCTTTCTGTGCATAACTCTTACATGGCAAGATCTGAAATAGATTTCTTTCTTTCCTATTGGGAGCTGTTGAAGGACTCGGGGGCTTTGAGGCCTGGGTGGTTAAACTTGAGGATTCGTCCAACCTTCCTGCAGCCCCTTGTCATTTTCATAACTTTTGCTTTCATCTACATGACCCGATGGCCAGTTAAATGACAGGGGGTGTCCTTAAAGACCAGTGTCTCCTGGGATCCGTGGAGGAGAAGCACCAGGTACGACTACCTAGAGTCAGGAGAACCGAGGTCCCTCGAGGACAGCTGGGTGACATGGTCTTGTACCTAGGGGGGCTTGCTGGGGTCTGGGGTCCGAGACTGCTTGGCTTGGAGTCCAGGCAATCAAGTCAGACTTGAAAAAGTTCAACAGGAACAAGCCGCTCAGCAAACCACGGGGCAGCTATTGCCTTGAATCCTTTCCTGGAGCCTGGTGGGACCTGGAGACAGATCAAGGGAGGCAGACCAGAGAGGGCCCAGGGCTGGGGCCAGGGAGCGGAGCCTCAGGGTGAGATTGGGTGGGGCCTCCTGGACCTGGCAGCCCTGGTGCGGAGGAGAGAAGAGGGTGTTCCAGGCAGGGGCCCCTGGACAAAGGCAGGGAGGGGAGGGGGCAGCTGCATCCCAGGGCTGCAAACAGGGGGCTGCAAACAACAGACCTGGGGAGGGGGGCTCAGGGGCACAGCGCTTGCTGGCATGTGGGAGGCCCCAGGTTCCATCATCAGCACCGCATGTAAATAAATAAATAAATGATCCATTGACAACTAAAAAAAAAAAATTAGGAAAAAACAACAACAGAAGCTGACTCTCCCACATGTGAAATCACGGTGCGGGCAGAGCTGGGCTCCCTCTGAGGGATCCAGGGAGGGTCCTTCCCTCCCCCTGAAGCTCCCACCTCTGCCTCCATGTCTGAACAGGGCTCTCTCTGTGCGTTTGTGCCTGTGCCTGTTTTGAAGGACACCGGTCATACTGGATTAAATCCACTGCCATCAAGTACGACCTCCTCTTACCATGACCACCTCTGAAAGGCCATCTCCCAATACGAGGGGCAGGGGATACAGTTCAGTGGTCGTGACAGCCCTCAGCAGGCTGCAGGCCTGGGTCCCGTCCTCGGCACCAGGAGCAAAACAAAACAAATACCACAAAACAAAACCACCAAATAAGTGACACTCACAGACACAGAGGAAGGGCTTCCACATGTTCTTTAAGGGACACAATTTAACTTACAATCAGCATGATCTGGGCCGAGAGCTCAGGCTGCCTGACTGTCGGGAAAGAGTCTGCAGGAAGGCCCCAAGGCTACGGGGAGGAGGGAGGTGCTGCTCCAGCCTGGTGGTGGCCACTGGGGTCTCCTCCCAGAGAAGTGGCTGCAGGCTGTGGTGTCAATGGGGGGAGGAGGTGTGATGTGGTCACATCCAGCTCAGGGGACAATTCCTATGTAGGCACTGGGGACTGCCGCAGAGCCAGCTACAGCAGGGACTATGCATCCTTGGAGAAGCAGACTCTCCAAGGTCAATCACTCGACCTTGAGGTACCAGTTGACCCTCTGGAACTGCCCGCTATGATCTGGATCTGGGGGTCCACCAGGTCACAAAGTTGGATGGCTCAGCATCAGCCCATCAGCTGGTGTATCAGACGAGCCCAGGCAGATTCGGGAGGCAGGAGGAGGCTGGCCGAGCAGATGTTCCTACACGAGGCTACCTGCGAGGGCACACCAGCACTCCTTATCAACTGACACCTATGTCTGTATGGGAGAGGGAGGTCCCATAGGGCCAGTGTAAGAAGATGGGGAATTCCAAACTTGATTGCCAGATGCTCATTCTAAGGGGGTAATTGAAAATGTCCGGCAGCCACATTACATCGTGTTCACAGACAGCCCTGAATGACAGCGGAGAGGGCAGGACTGGGGGCAAGGCACGTGTTCATCCTATTGTGTAGGAGGAGGAGCAGACTGAGCTGAGGGTAAGTGCAGATTCCAGGGTCAGTGGTGCGGCCAGTAGGGGAGGGCTCAGCGGCAAAAGGGTTACAGGAAAGGCCCTGGTAGAGGCAAGCCGTTGGACCCGTGGGAGTGGGCACGAGGTGTTCTGTGTCATACATTAGTTTCCACCAGGGAACACCTACCATGGAGGACACCTGCAACAGCTCAGTGTACACAATGGTGCCCCAGCCATCCTGGAACCCCAAAGGACACATGAATGGAGCAGCCAGAGTGTCAGGGAGGAGGACCAGACAGGAGATTGACTGCACACGCTCCCAATGACACACAGCCACCCCTGAGTCTCCAATCAGCCAGTAATTGAGGCCAAGCTGAGCCTCCGATATGGCGCTGCTCCCTGAGGGGACCAGCCATCTATTCGGAAGCAAGTAAAGTCCCTTATCTCCTGGAGGACCCACAAGAACAGACTCCTACACCAGGGGTGTTTGCTGCCCACAGAGCAGCATCAGGGCCCCCAGGCATGTGATCCCCATGGAGCAACATGGAGAGAGGACCCTGGCCAGGAGGCCTGAGAGGAGCCATGATGAGCGTCTTCTGGTCTCACCTCCAGAAAGGCGGTCTCACCCAGGGCCGGAATGGTCAGGCGGGGACAGGGCTGCAGCCCCAGGTGACACGGACAAGGATGAGGAGAGCAACCTCAGTCACAGCATAGGCACCACGAAGGCACCATGCAGGCACTGTGGCCCTGCTCCCAAGGACGCCCACGTGAGCCCAGGGGCCACAGGGTGGAGGCGGGAATGGCCCCACTCACTGTCACTGCAGTGACCCACTGGGCTTCCTGTCCCTGCAACTCTGGACTCTGTAGGGCTGGAAGTTCTGATCCTACGAGGGGTATCACCAGGAGTCCCCGTGTGCCACAAGTCACAGCTGCCACCAGGATCCTTTGATGCCTATGTCTGGGGACAGGAGTGGGACAAAGTGTTTCTGTTTGGAGGGATTCACTGACCTCGATCCCCAGCCGAGGACAGGCTGGTTTGCACTGGGTCCAGGAGGAGTGTGTGAAAGCCAGCTCCGCTTGGCTCCTCCCCCATGAGTGAGGGTCCTGAGGAGGGTGTGGTCCTCCAGGCTCAGGGCTCTCAGGAGGAAGGTGGGGAACGGGAGCAAACCCCTGGCGGTCCCAGCCAGTGGCAGCACCAGGGCTCGTGGTTAGTCCTACTGCCCCTCTTCTAAGTATCTTCCAAGATGAGAGGCTCAAGAAACGAAGGGGGAGCTGCTCCCCGAACACACGCTGCAAGGGGCTGTGTGTGGTGCAGGGGGGCTGGTGGCCTGCAGGTGTCCTCAGCACTCCTTCCAAGGGACCCACAGCACAGCCATCCTCCACTGGTAGCCCAGAACCTCCCCGTGGGTGTCCACACTCTCCCTGGCTGTTCCCCGGTGAACACGCAACCCCGAGCAGCGCCTCCTCTTTCTGAGACTCCTCTGACTAAAGGCTTCTGCTTGGTGGCTGCCCCTGGCCTGGCAGGGCTTTCTCAGAACAGTGCTGCCCTCGGGGACTCTTCCTGCCCAATCCTGCCAGTGTCAGGGCCACTCCCGCCCTTTTCCCTCGCCAGTGCCTCCCCTATCACCTCTCTTGCATGTCTAGTTCCCTCTGGGCAGCTGCTTCCCTGAGGTTTCAGCTGACACCGATAAAGCAGGACAGAGGGACACGGGGTACTTGGTGGTTTGTTGGTACAGTGAGGGAGAGAGGTGGACTGAGATGCCAGTGAATCAGCTGAAACAGGCCCACGTTTTCATTGGTAAGGGTCAGTAGAGCAAAATTAACAGTCTGGAGAGATGTGCACAGAGACTGTGACCGAGGGCTTTCACCTTGACCTACAGAGAAACCGCAGAGGCTCGTTTATGCTCCTATGCTGTGCTGGCGACATTGCCAGGCTTCACAAACATCCCGTTATAAACTTACCAACACTGACGTTTTTGCATCTTTGTAGCTCACTCTAAACCTGGCTCAAAATCAACTTTTGAAAAGGGAGCTTCAAAATATTTTAAGCAATGAGAAAATGGTTAGAATAAATATAGACCTTCTCCAAGAAATATCACAATGCTATTATCTATGTTCTCTTGAAATGAAAGCAAAATGGAGAAGTGAATCCAAGGCAGAGTGTTTTGCAATCTTGTGTAGCCCTGGGAGCAACCATTTTGTGAATCTGAATTTAAAGATGGAAAGAGATGCTAGGGTCAAAAGAAAAAAATCAGGAAGAGGTAAGAGAAAACCAAAGGAAAGTGGGCGCCTTTCCTCACTCCTCCGCCCTCCTGCCAGCCGGGGTATCTGGTTACAGTGCCATGGGAGTTTAACCATAAATAAATTGAACCTGAATTACGCTTGTCAAAGTAAATGAGCAACACTGGCTTCATGGTTCTGAGTCTTGGCTTCCGTGATCGCTGGATTTTTCTTGCTCAGGTAACTTGAAACATCATTGATGGACATTGCTAATCCCAATTATTTGTGAGCTTTGGCTGGCTTTCTTAATTACAAAGGGAAAAGTCCTTTTCCTGTAGGAGAAGATTTGGGCACTCAGGTGCCTTCACTTATTCATCTAAATTCCCAGAGTGACAAGACTTCCCAGGGTCTCTGCTGTTCCTGGCCTGGGAAATGGTCCTGCGTTCCCACCCATCCCCACTTCCTTCCCCACAGATGCTCAGAATGGGCTCTGTGAGGAGCACAGCGTGGCTGCAGCACAGAGGGGTGAGTGTGGCCATGGAGCAGGCGACAGAGGGGCAGGCAGGGACATCAATAGCAGGGGCTCCTATTAGTACTCACTCTGCCTGAGGAACATCTCTTTCCTTCTCTCTTTTCTGCTTCCTTCTTCCCTCTCCAGATTGTTAAAAAAAAAACCAAAAACTTACGAGGGGGCAAAACAAACAAACAAAATAATTAAGTTAATTAAAAGTGAGAAACTAGGGCTTTTGGATTGCAAGAGACAGAAATCCAGCTCTTGCTTAAGACAATGTGGGGATTTCCTTGACTCACAGGGAAAGGAAGAAGAGGAACTGGACTCAGGGACCACAGGAACTGGGCATTCAGCCGTGGGTACTGTGTTCTGGGTGCTGTACCCAGGCTGGCAGGCGCTGGGCATAGAGTGGGGCAGCTCCAGGCTGAGGACGAACGGCCTCAGGAGAAGAACTAACTGGGCTCGGTCTGCTCCAGCTGGAGTCCCCTGACTGTCACCCAGGACCAGGTCCCCAGTGTGAGTGGAAGCAGGGGGAGGGATCCTGGCAGCCTCCAAGTTCCCCCGAAGGAAGATAGAGCGATTCGTGCAGGATTCCAGCAGGAGTAACTGTTGCTAAGGCCAACAGCTCTGATGTCCACGTTCTAGCCACCCCAGTGCCACAAGGTGCAAACAGGGCAGAATCCAGGAGCAAGACAACTATTCTAGATATAAGGCCAAACAGGAATCTCTCTCTAGGGATCTTTGCATATGTCTTTTTTATGTCTCAAATGATCAAATCCCGGAGTTAGCTAGCAACCATTTAGCTCTGGCCCTAATAAGATGGGTCCTTTCCAACAGGGTTTCAGGCAGTCCTGCTGGAACATTCTAGATAGAAGCAGCCTGCCCCACAGTGGTCTTGTGCCTCCTCTGAGCTCTGTCCCCAAACCTGCTGC